TCAGTCTGTTTAAAGGGACGAGATTGTTTTCCTTCTAGGTTTAATATCTACAAGCATTTCAAACAAAATAATCCATCTTCAACCAACCAATCTAACCTTTTCTTTAACAAAAATACTCTGTTTTATTGCACAGAGGCACTAATCAGAAGTGGAAAGTTCACGCCAATGGTTTTAAAGTTCTGTTGGGAAAACAAAAGTTAAATGTTCCTTCCAAAATAAAAGCTTTGGTTTCCAGTTACAGAGGTATTGTTATTAGTTTAAGTCTAGCAATAAATACTTATTACGCCAGTAAAAATAAACACCAGTTGGGGAGAATGAGTAGAATGAGTTGCAGCAAACAGTCGTTTTAGTTTTTTGTGCCAAGTTTCAAGGGACGAGTGAAAAATTGACTTTTAAAGAGATTTCAAATGTTTTGAAGTGATGCTCAGAAACAAAGATACGAACCTCATTGAGCCTCTGGCAGTGCGTCCCAAGGCAGCTGTAGCTACACCGTAGCTCACCATCATCCGCGTGTGAATGTGCGAGTATGCATGACACCGTCATCGTTGGTGTCCTGCCTCAGCCCTCATCAGACTGCAGAAGGTGCAGATTGCAGCTGCCGGGTTTTTCACGAACACTAACTGACCACACCATATCACTCCTGTCCTGGCTCAAATACACTGGCTCCCAGTTCACTTTCGGTTGAAGTTCAAGACATTTATCTTTAAAGCCTTAAACGGTCTTGCCCCGCGTTAGTTGTTGGACTCGATCACCCCCTATGTCCCGGCGCACACCCACCATGAAGTACAAATCGCGAGGGGGAGCTGGCCCCACACTTTGGAATGATCTTCCACCTTCCGTCAGACTGGCACCGTCCCTCACTCGCCTCAGGTCATTGTTGAAGACCCACGTAAATGACTTGGCTTTTGGCCAGTGATTGTTTATCTCTGTGTTTTATTGTTGTGTGTTTTAATTGGTTTTATTTACTGTGACCAAGCTTTTATTGTACATTACTTCAGTCAGCTGTCATGCTGTGTTTTTAACATGCTTCAGAAATAAGTATGGTGTGGTAAAAGTGATAAAACACTGATTAAACTTAAAAACTGGTTTGATATGAATAGATTGACACTGAATCTTAATAAAACAAAATTTAATCTGTTTAATGATAAAAAGTACAGTGATGTAAAAATGAGGAACAAATAGTGATTTTGTAACAAAGAGACCCGTGTCAGAGCTTGGTCTGCACTGCCAGCAGTAAGTCGGGCTCGATCCTGGTTAGAGTTATGTAGAAAAAGGAAACAGTTTGTTCAGATAAAGGATCAAAAATCAAAACTATGTGAAATTAATTGTGGAGTGCCACAAGGGTCGGTCCTCGGACCAAAACTGTTCATTTTGTTTATTACCGGCTTGGTAAATGTATCTAAGACACTCAGTACCATTCTATTTGCAGATGATACAACACTGTTTTACTCAGGATCAAATATTGAGGAGGTGGCTAAAGTGATAAATGATGAACTGATTAAAATTCAAAACTGGTTTGATATAAATAGATTGATACTGAATCTTAATAAAACTAATTTTATTCTGTTTAATGATAAAAAGAACAGTGATGTATCATTGGAAATAGATGGGATTGAAATTCAAAGAGTAAAAGAAACTAAATTTCTTGGAGTTCTTATTGATGAAGACTTGTCATGGAAATCTCGTATTAGTTACATAAAAGGTAAAATTGCCAAATCCTTAGGAGTATTACATAAAGTCAAGTTTTTACCAACTCATTCTGGTTTGTTGGCATTGTACAATTCACTGATTGTTCCATACTTGCCTTATTGTGTAGAAATCTGGGGAGCAACATACAAAAACTATACACAACCCTTATTTATTTTACAGAAAAGAGCTCAGAGAATCATCAGTTATAGTGGCTGTAGAGATCCATCAAACCTGTTGTTTATTAAATATAAATTACTGAAATTTCATGATTTATAAGACTGGAAAATCTTACAAACCATGTATAAAGCCAATGTAGGCACTCTGCCAACAAACATTCAGAATGTTTGTCAGAATACATGCTGAAAGAAACTGATGTGTTTACAAAACCTAGATTTAGAACTAAAATTAAGGAGTGGAATATATCTGTAAATGATGTTAAATTATGGAATAACCTTAAAAGGGAAATTAAAAAACTGTCATTTAATATATTCAAAAAATGTACCAAACTCAGTGTACTAAATAATTATGACAACGTAAATGAAATCAATGATCATGATCGACTGGAATTTTGAACAGGAAAAGTTTAAAATGAATCTGTGTGTGTGTCTGACAAATGGAAATTATATATAAATAAATTATTTCTTCTGGAAAAGGCGGCAGAAATTATAAGATGTTTTTCTTCATTCTGCTCCTTTTCGTTGAAATTAGATTTTTTGTTATGTATTTCTCATTGTTTATATGTTTTATTTGTTATTTTGAATTAAATAAAAAAGAGAAAAAAAGTGATCCACTGTAAGTGCTTTGACGTCTTCTGCGAGCACGGGTCACTTACCATTGATCATTGATCATAAATAAAGATTACTTCTGTTCTGACTCCTCTTACTGGGGCCACTTATAGGAAGAACTACTGACACTCTAGAAGATGTCATACTGTAGCCGTTCACGCTAAAGCCGTTTACACCACAAGTATGACATTCACCACCTGAAGAGCTCAGATAATTCTCCTATTTCTACTATTCCTGCCACGGCTCACTAATGATTTTAATGAACAATATCTGTTTTTCACATTGATGGTGCCTCTCCTATCAGGATCAGCCAGGTGAAATTCCAAATGCGTCCCATATGAACGCCCTGCTCCCACGAGGGTTACGTGGCAGTAACCTGCTTTTGTTGGACTAGCTGCTGGCTGGTTGGTCCAGCTGTGTTTCTCTAAACCGAGTTCACCTGAAGAGCTAGCCAAAACAAATACACTAGTAGTTCGTAATATTTCCACAGTGTAATAACGCGTTTCCTCAGCGCCTCGAGTTCTGAGCCCATCCACCAACACCTAACATCAAGAGTACTTGTATAGCAGGTAATACCTGAGTGACTAGGCGACTCGTCTTTCCTGAAACAGCCAGGCTAGCTGCCCCGAGTTAAAATGAGAGGTTGAAATAAACAAGTTGATACGTAGCTTCCACATCCTTGTCCTGAATCTGGTTTTATAACCCAGAGCAGCCTTCTGCAGCCTCAGTGCCTTATCGATTTAGGTTTGTTAAGCACAAATGAAACCACCTCTCAGTAAAACTCCATCTCTTTCACACACAGCGCTGGCTGGTAGCAGCACCTTCAAATAGGCCCTCATGGAAATCACTAGCTAATCCAATTCCCCCGGTTGGATGTCCCCCCCACGGTCCACATTTATCACTCACTGATCAGAGAGCCTCTCAGATCTCCGCCCGGGTCACACGTGGTCCACGCCAACGGCGGATATTGAAAGCTGTTTGTCTCTGTGCAGTAATGTGTTTCCAACACTCGAGTGGTCTTAGATAGGGAATATTGCTTTCACATGTTTCTGATGCTTAGAGGCAGAATGAATCATTGAAGAGATTAAGGCTGTGAAAGCCCTCCGAGGATTAAGTCCCGTCCCGATATAGCGTTCCTCACCGCAGCGTGGAAGCTACAGTAACATGAACTAGGTCACAGGATGTATCCGTACGCTGCCCCGTGTGTGAGTTAATCAAGTTTATCAGATAATGTGGGCACGGCCACGGTGGTATGAGCATGGTGTTCATCTGGGCAGACAGTGGATTCAAAAGCGTGGGAATCAGAACCGAAGTCGAGATGAGAATACGTCAAACAACCTGAGGGTTAAAGCGTCACGTTTATTAAAATAACACCACTAAATGTAGAAAGCCATTCTCCTATCTCAGTCTGAGTTAGCAGAACTTGAGCGTGCTTCATGAGTTTGCCAACCTCTTTTTTTATAACTATGTGTGAGAATAATCCATGCATGCGCGCTTGAGAGGATCTCACAAGGCCTCGTGCTTCTGAAACGCCTACCCTAGCAGACGTCGTGTTCCCAAATAAACTTCTCCTGCTGAAGTCTTTTCTGCTCCTCCATCATGGGCATCGCTCCCGTTTCCATCTGGTTTATTTCGGCTCACATTAGCAGCAGGTCGGAGGCCTCCTGTCTTTCTGAAAGACGGCGGATTACGGCAGGGGCTGCACCTGATGCCCCGCCCCTGGGGCCAGCTGTCAGTCTTCCCTCACCCTATCAAATTATAAGAATAGATCCTGAGGCCCCGGATGAGTTCCCTGTTCCGATGCCTCGTGTGTGTCGAGACGGTGAAACTAATATGTTTAGCGTTTGTTGGGACCTGAAATGACTCGCGCTCCAGACCGGCGGTTTAAGAAAAGCCGACGTAGGCCGAAATCCAAATTAGGGTGGGCGTGAAGAGCGTTAAGAGGGTTTATTCAGGGCGTCCCTTTGGCTCTTAAGTGAAGCAGTTGGGTTTGATATTTTCTGTGTGTCCAACTCAGAAAATGAAATTTAATGATGACAGTGTTGGATCAGCAGAAAACCACTGGAGGCTCCAATCTTTCTGGCTGATATGATAACGGCCGTGAGAATTGCTAATCTACTCCTCCAGAAAGGGAAATGAGAGATTGATATCCCCCTTTTTCCCCTCCCCCGTCTCTTCCGCTCAGCATTCTTTGAATTTAGAACAAAGTTCCTTTCAGAAGAAATGATGAAAGTGTCGATGAACAACAAATGTGCAACAGTAATCGTATTTTTCTCAGGATCCATTATTGTCTTACATCTGTGCTGTCGGTGCGTTTGAGGCTCCCGGGATAAAGTTTGGAATATGACTCTTGGATTTAGAAATTGAGATCAAAGCAAGGATGACAGATGAGACAAGATGAAAGCTAAAACCCCACTTTTTTCTCTCTCTGTGTGTGTGTGTGTGTGTGTGTGTGTGTGTGTGTGTGTGTGTGTGTGTGTGTGTGTGTGTGTGTGTGTGTGTGTGTGTGTGTGTGTGTGTGTGTAGGTGCTACCTTTGACGTGGCCATGCGATTCTTGTCCGAATGTCCGTGGAAAAGGCTCCAGGAGCTGAGAGCTTTGATCCCAAATGTCCCGTTCCAGATGCTGCTGAGAGGGGCCAACGCTGTCGGCTACACAAACTACCCTGATAACGCCGTCTTCAAGTGAGTCACTCATGCACGCACACACACACTCACACACAGATTTTATCTGACTGGTTATCTCTAGACTCATACACAGATGGATGAGTTGTAATATTTATCCAAACTTTTTATTCTTCAACTTTAAATCCCCCAAAATCTTTATTTTTTCTAAGGCTAACAATTAAATAAATGTTTTTAGTGCAATAAATTGCTTGACTTTCTTAGTTAGAGGTATGGTGGGGGGATGTTCTGAGTTTCAGGAAAGATCCGTCCTCTCCACGTTTTTACAAAATGCGCATGACGCCCAGTTATCCTCGAGCATACTATGTTTACAAGTAGCTGCTGGCCTTGCAGCACACGCTCACTCGAGAAAAGCAGGGATGAGGTCCTGCCCCAAGTGGAGGAGTTTAAGTATCTCGGGTCTTGTTCACGAGTGAGGGAAAACTGGAGCGTGAGATCGATAGGCGGTGTAAGAATTAAATTTACATTTTATTTAATGAGCCATGAGATTCCGTAATAAATATGAAATCAACCTTATGGATCTGTGGGTACTTTTAACCAGAAGATTGGAACTTTTTATTGCAGGGATTAGATAACAGCTTCGTATTCACTCGGGGACAACAGAAGAGAGAGTCGAGTTTAAAAGTTAAAAGATTTATTACTAAACAAATTAAAACTAGACTAACTTTAAACACTAAATGTATGGTGTAACTAAGGTGAATGAGACGGAGAATGGTGTAGTGTGGAATGTTGCTCAGAACCAGCAAATCCGAAGAAACGATTAGTTCTGATTGGAGTGAAGGTGATGTCTTCGTGCTAAGCTTTGATTCGGAGATTCATAAACACACACTGAGACGCCCTTCTTTCGGCCTACGTACCCTTAGCGGAAGTCCCCGTTAGATCAGGAATGTCGAGGTCCAGCTGGACCCTCTCTGGAACCGAAGCCGGTAGGAAAAGCAGCTGTTGCCGACCAGTCCAGTCTTGAGATACTTCCGGGTCATGACAGTTTATCGGCATCTAGCAAGACCCAAAACGGGGTCGTGATGGTTCAACTTTTATTCTGAAAGGAACCGTTGCAGCAGTTGGAACAGCAACAGATTTTATCCAGCTTGTCGTTGGTTCTTTTGGCTGAAGAGGAAAGTTACGGATTGGCCACTCCGACAACTTCTCTAGAACGCTTTGAACTGGCGTTAAAGATGACGTGGGCATAGTTTTATACTTCGGATGTTTTGGTTTACGGTCGAATGAAAAGGTGACAGATTTAGCAAACACCACCAAAACCACGCCTCCGTCAGATCCGGCAGATTCTGATTGGATCAGTGAAAGTAATGTGTGATGTGGCTTAACCTTACGTGTGATCAGTCTCTAGTGGAGTTCTGAGGTTTGTTTGTTAACACCTCCTAACATGGCACGTCCCGATTGGCCACGTAAATCGTAATATGAGAATATTAAAACGGAATCACTTGCGGAGTGATTCAGCATTCCAGCATTCTGTTAGTTGATCTAACTCTGACTGGCCATCGGAGGGAAACTCTGCTCACACCGCATCTCTTGACAAGCTTTCGACAAGCTAAAAGCTGCCTACAGCTGGCACAGCAAAACGGTTCCTGCAGAACAAAGCTGATACATTTCCGACTCCCTAAGAGTCCTTCTAGACGCAAACGATTCCATCTATCTGTTGTGACTCGGAAACATCTCTGGACTGGCAATCAGAGCTCCTCCGTCTGTTTCGGTGTCTGTTATTGTCATATTATTTAGAAAAATCCTCTGACTGGGTTGTTTCCATGGGAACCACACGGATGGCGAGCACCTACACATGTTGTCTTTTGAGATCGACAGACCACGAGACTTGCGCGCGGTGCATTGTAGTTATTGAGGACGGAGGGAGATTTAAAAACCCGGAAGACAGTTTTTCTCTGTTGGGCTCGGTGTTTACATCTCCAATCAGTCCTTCTGCGGTGTAAACTAGCAAAGGAATTTAACCTCTCTTAATTCACAAGGATGTATAAAACAAAGGAGACTGCTCCTGAGACTGGCTCGACGCAAAATCTAGAGAAAGGTACAATCGAGAAGATCAAAGGATTTAACGGGTTAGACCCCTACGAACACAAAGACTGGAGCAAAGGCATGTTGCCCAACTTTACTCACACACACACACATATATATATATATATATATATAACTATATGGTGCTAAGTGTGAGTGCATACACCATGAAGTGTTTAGTAACGTCAGATCTCTGCAACAAGCCCAAGTCCAGCTTACCGACGGGTGGGTGCAGGACCTCGAAATGTGCAGAGTCGGACTGAAGACCGTTGTGCGCACGAAGGTAAGTCGGCCTTTTTCTCATGTCGATGTTATAATTACTCTCAACAAATCCGTAGATGAAGGTTCTAATAAAGTCAGTGGAGGGACGTAGCCCAGTCCGGATCGCGTTCCAGCGTGCTGTAGGCCGGTTTGCCTGCATACGACACAAATAGCAGCCCGCAAAGCTAATGTAAACAAAGCATTCCGGCGAAACAAATGGGCCAGCAGAGGCCTTGTTTGTGACCTGTATCTACAAATTCGCTATTAATCAATTTCCCTCTGGGATTAATAAAGTATTTTTGAATTGAATGATAAATCACTTTACTGCAATACATAAACTTACCTTTATGGAAATGTCTATAGCAGACCAACATGTGACATGGGGTGTCCTCGAACGTTATGTTAGGTTAGCAGCAATCCACGCCAGCCGTTGCCTCTTTGTAGCGTCCGACACATCGATCGCTGGAACAACCGCACTTCCACGCAGGAATTCGGAAAAAAAAACGTGTACCTTTGGCTATTAGCCTTCCCTGGTGGTCATGCGACCTAGTATGGCAATCAACAACACAACAAGCTCTGACCATGTTTGGGGACAACTGTCCGGAAAAACATAGAATGGAATGAGGGTGCTAACGGTGGTTTGGGGGGGAGGGCTGTCCCTCATACCTACAATCCTTTGCGGGTTGAAGCCGGAAATGACGACACGTTTTCAATCTCAATAGAGTATAGTGGAGTATTTTCTTTACTGACAGACTGTAAACAGAAATAAAAACAAATGATGTTTAACAGAAATGAGCATCAAGTTCTTTCCTTCGCTATAGAAGTGGTAAACGAACCGACTGCTTTGGTTTATTTAAATTATTTTAACTTTTAAACTCCAGACTTGGACAATATTTAATAGTTTGACACACTTGAGTCTGATTCTGAGAAGAGGGGAATGTAACACACACATGTAATACGTATCTGACAGCATTATTGGTTTCTGCTCAGTTTTTTAAACGATCTGATTGGTTAACCGACCCTAGCCCTCAGAGCTGCTCTCGAGTCACAGAAACAAAGTCGAGACGTGGACATGGGCGTAGTCCCATGACCCCTGGAGAGTCCTGACCTTTTTCATGTACTTGACCTTCAAAGACTCAAGTCTCGACTTGAACCTGGCTTCAGTCTTTGAGGAGCATGCTTGGTTCTTGACGTGGACTTGAGAGTTGGTCGCCGGTTATAATCCGCTCTTGTTGGCGGATGGTGGTTGGTACCAGCTAAACACACAGCCGTAACACATTCAGTCAGGGCCGTGTGTTTAATGTGTATGTTGTCTCCGCTCGCTCACTTACACATCAGTCATACAGCTGTGTACTCATGATGCACTCTGAGCCGTAAACACACACACACACACACACACACACACACACACACACACACACACACACACCTCTGTTCCAAATGAATTCACAAGCTTCCTCTGATCTGATTGTGGACCACACACACACACACACACACACACACACCCGCAGTTGCCGACACGGTGTGACTCCACTCACTTGAAATAAATTAGAGGCTAATTTATGACTAATGCAGCTGTCCCCTCCTCATGTCGTCCCTCTGAATCACCCTCAGACCTCCCCCCTCCCCCTCCCCGTGTCTTACCCACCTCTCATCCTAAATGCATTATTTACTCTCTGATACCTCACTGTTTGGTTGCCTCCATTCATCTCCCCACATTCCAGACTCCTCCCCTCCCTGTTGCTCTTCAAGTCCCTCTTCACTCTGCATCCCAAAGGGGGAGCGCCATTGAAAATTTGCACATCATTGTGATTAATGGCTCTGATGTGTTTGCTTGGCTCCCCCTCTCCTCCCCCCGCGCGCTGTCACTCCCCCGCGCTCGGCGCTCTGAGTGCAGCAGCTCGGCTAACTTAATTATCTTTATTATCAAAATCAAATCGAAGGGCATCTTTATTCTTTCACTGATTTAATTGAATTGTACAGGAAAGATCAGGGAATCCTGTGTGTTTAAGACGTTTATTTTTTTTTTAATCCAAACACTCCAGACAAACAAAAATAACCATTTTCTGCACGAAGAACTGGACGTGTAAGACGGTGCAGCGTTTTTGATTTGATGCCACATAAAAACACACACCACAGCACATTGTGCTGTAATATTACTGGACACACACACACTCAAATTAGACTGGTAATCCTCTGGTGGCACAAATAAACACACTGACACACAATATGTCTTGTTTATTTCCTGAAGCAAAAGCTCAGTGTGCGTAGATTTCCCATTCACAGCAACACAGCCGCAGCCGGCGCTCATTGCAGCTATGAAAAACCTGATTAAGATAGCGGGGCAAAGGCAATAATGAGGGATTTACCACAAGCAGCTTCGATAATGACTGGAGTACACATTTGTCTCCAGTTGTTGTGTTCCCCTGCAGGCCGTGTTTCACGCACATAGCAGGGATATGGCAGCATTTATAGCAGCGATATGGAAATGAACCCCTAATTCCCCCTTCATGTTGACGTCTCGTTATACAGATGTTTGGAAAAACTCTGCTTCACTGACCTGCTGTGGCTGTCGGGTCCCGACAACAAAAACTACAGGGAGGGTTTGTCTAACCTAAAGTCTCTCCCCAGGTTCTGCGAGGTGGCCAAGGAGAACGGCATGGACATTTTCCGTGTGTTTGATTCCCTGAACTACCTGCCGAACATGCTGCTGGGCATGGAGGCTGCAGGAGCGGCGGGTGGCGTCGTTGAGGCCGCCATCTCGTACACGGGCGACGTCTCTGACCCGATGAGGCAGAAATACTCGCTGGATTACTACGTGAAACTGGCTGATGAGCTCGTCAAAGCTGGAACCCACATTCTCTCCATCAAGGTGAGGGAATAAAAATGCCGTGCAGGAGGGATCCAGCTGTTCCCCTAGAGAGCTGTTTGCTGCCTTTTCGTATTCCAAGAATAAATCCAGCCTGGAGAATCGTTGTTCCCCCAGCCAGCTTCTGGAATATAAAGCAGCCATGAAGGAAGATTTAGGAAAAGCAATAATAGAAGTCTGAGCTAAACCTAAACCTGCTTGGTTTCCACTAATTGTCCTCTGGATGTAGCTTTATTCGTTTCTTGTCAAACATTTGAGGTGAGTACAAGTCCTGCTTTAAATGTAAGGTTTAGTTGCATTTGGTAATGTTACATAAATGCTTATTAGCAACAAACATGAAACTAAGTCTAAGAAAGAACTTCATTCTGTTAAAGAGACACTAAATACATGTTCTGCTTCTGCCTCCTACTGGTTAAAAGCAGAATTACAACTGTGGTAAACACCCCCTGCAGCACTAGGGTATCCGCGAGTCCTTAAAAAGTCTTAAATTAGCTTTTCCGAATTTAAGGCCTCACAAATCCTTAAAAATTACAAATAATCCTTAAATAAAGTTTCCAAAGGTCTTAAATGACCAAAGACCCAATAAACAACATTGTTTTATTTCTATAAAATTTTTGTGAATTTCTAGTTAGTGTTCAGCATTTTTTCTGTACGACGTTGGCGTAAGCGGAACCGTACACGTTCAGTTGGTTGTGAAAGGGGGCTATTTTAAGAGGAGCACGTTAGCTGGTTAAGCTAGTGGGAGCTTGCGCCATGGGGAAGTGCAAGTTTAATGGTAACTGGATGGCTAATCCCACATTCGCGACGTGGTTAGCACCGGTTCCAGGCAATAGCTGGAAATTATAGCTTAAATTTAATTTTTAAAGTAGCTTAAATTTGGTCAAAGTGGCCTTGAAAAAGGTCTTAAAAAGTCTTAAGTTTGGCTCCCTTAAACCTGCAGATACCTTGTGCACCTTGCTGTAGCTAGCGCTAACAAGAGCTAAAGCTGGCTCAAGAACCACTGAAACCAGCTCGAAAGCAACAACTAAAAGTGTTTTGAACATTTTAAAGGTTCAGTGATGAATGCATCCTTAAGCACAGCATTGCTTCCGCTTTGTGAGTTGACATCACTCGGAAATAATTAATTTCTCTATTCAGGCATGATGGAATATTGTAGATAAGAATCATAAACTCCCACTCTGCTGCATCCAGGATCGTCGCACTCAGCAGTGGCCGTCTCATTAAAACCCTAGCATAACTAATGAGCTCCACATTTATAAGCAGAAATAGACGAGTGTTATAAATTCATAGATACCAAACGGAGCACAGCTAAGTTCCTCATCATGAATTATGCCTCTTCCAGGCAGCGGATAGATTATTGGTTTTATTAGTCTGTTAAATCAACAGATTTGAAGGTCTTAAACGTGTCGGTGTTCGTGACTTAAGAAGCATGAAGTGCGCATATTTATTTATGCCATATTAATAATGAAATATTACCAAACTCTATTATAGACGGGTTTCTCACACATCATAATATCTCTACAGTTTATGTTTCTGCACTTTAAACTGGTGGAGTTAGCGTAGCAACGTCAAGATTAAAATCAAACAATGTGGGGGGGAAAAGTGAAAATCATGAGATGAAAATAGTCATCAAATCCAAGTACATTAATAGAAAGGTGAAGGGAAGGAAAGGATGTGGTAGAAAAAAGTGTAGAACAATGGGGATAACCGCACCCTGGAGAGGATTATGAAACAAAACCCATTCATAAATGTGGGGGAGATTCACAGAGTGGACTGCAGCTAGAGTCCGTGCTTCAAGAACCACCACGCACAGATGTATGGTTTCAGCTGTTGGGTTTCTTGTTTCAAGCTACTCCTGAACAAGACACAACATCAGTAGGGTCTCACCTGGGCTAAAGACAAAAAGGACTGGACTCCTGCTGAGTGGTCCAAAGTTATCTTCTCTGATAAAAGTAAATTTTGCGTTTCCTTTGGAAACCACGGTCCCAGAGTCTGGATGAAGAGAGGAGGACAGAATCTGTTGCTTGAGGTCCAGTGTAAAGTTTTCACAGTCAGTGATGCATGGGGTACCGAGTCATCTGCTGGTGTTGGTCCATTGTGTTTTCTGAGGTCTAAGGTCAACGCAGCCGTCCACCAGGTAGTTTTAGATTACTGTATGCTTCCTGCTGCTCTATGGAGATGCAGATTTAATTTTCCAATAGGACTTGGCTCCTGCGCACAGCGCCAAAGCTACCAGTACCTGGTTTAAGGACCGTGGTATCCTTGTTCCTGATTGGCCAGCAAGCTGCCCTGACCTTAACCCCACAGAAAATCTATGAAGTATTGTGAAGAGGAAGATGCAATGGTCCAGACCCAACAGTTCAGAAGAGCTGAAGACCACTAGCAGAGCATCGTGGGCTCTCATAACACCTGAGCAGTGCCACAGACTGATGGACTCCGTGCCACGCTGCAGTAATCCGGACCAAAGGAGCCCCACTGAGTGTTGTACATGCTCATACTTCTCATGTTCATGATTTTAGCTGGTGAACACATCTAAAACTCCTTTTATTGCATTGGTCTTAATTGATGCTTTAATATTCTTAGATACAGAATTTGGGATTTTCATTAGTTGTCAGTTATGATCATCAAAATAAACATTTGAAAGAAATCTGTAACGAATGAATCTAATTTACAAGTTTCTCCATTTGAATGGAATTACTGAAATAAATCAACTTTTTCATGATGTTCTAGTTCAACGACCATCCGTAGAAGCAGGTACTGTGTAACACGAGGGTGCGACTGGGTTGCGCTTATCAAACCGTCTCCATGAATCCTTTTGGTGTTCCTCTCCAGGACATGGCCGGCCTCCTGAAGCCTGAGGCCAGCAAGCTGCTGATTGGCGCCCTGAGAGACCGATTCCCAGACGTGCCCATTCACGTGCACACGCACGACACAGCTGGAGCAGGAGTAGCGGCTATGTTGGCCTGTGCCGAGGCTGGAGCGGATGTAGTGGATGTTGCAGTGAGTTTATTTCATGAACAGAACTTTCTAGTGTACCTGAAAGCATGAACAAATGTAAATGATCTACCAGAATAAATGTCCTTTGCTATCTTCACTGGCACACCTTGTCAGAACAGCTTCATGTAAGTAATTGGCTTCTATTGCAAGCTTTGGTTTATAGGGTTTAACTGGCGCATTAATCAGGGGTGATTAATTAATCAGGGGTGATTAATGCGCCAGTCAATATTATCAAGCAGTTCCTTTTTAACATCAATAAATGATGAGAAGTGGTTGCCACGCCCAGTAATCTCTATCAGATATGCTAATATTTACTTGATTTTCAGTGTAAAATGGCTCTTGGGAGGACAAAATGTTCTGTTTTTTTATCACTGATCACTACACGAATATAAATCCTTAAATGGACACTCAACTGGGCAGGTCTTATGGAGCAATGATATTTAATCACTATGAAAGATGTCAGTTTGAAGAAATGGCGACCAGTTCTTACCAGATTGCTGAGCTAACGGCTAGATCAAAGCGGATGAACGATGAATAAATATTCTTTTGCCATAAATCATGCTTTTAGCTGAAGCAGCCTTCCTACTGATTGTTCTTAGGTTGACTCCATGGCGGGGATGACATCTCAGCCCAGTATGGGCGCCATGGTCGCCTGCACCAAAGGGACCAAGTACGACACCGGTGAGTGACCGTCACGAGAACTATTATAATTGGCCGGGGCAGACGATAAGTTGTGTTTTCCATGTAAGCATAAGAGTTAGTTATTTAGACTCACAGGTCTTAAGGCATCTGAACAACAGACCTAAGATTTAGGCCCTGTCCACACGTAGCCGGGGATCTGCCAAAACGTAGATATTTTTCTACGTTTTGGCCTGTCATCCACACGAAAACGGAGTTTTTTCACACGAAAACGGATCTTTTTAAAAACTCCGGGCAAAGTGAAGATCTGCGTTTTCTCCGTTTTGGGTGTCTGCGTGTGGACAGACAAAACCGGAGTTTTAAGGTCCGCAACGTCACTTTCCGCGACAGAAACATGCTGACATCACGTGTGCGACCTGTGTTTACACTAGCCGACAGCATGGATGCCCTCAGAGCTGCGCTCGCTTTATCAATTGTCCAAGCGCTTTTTGCTTGTTTGTTTTTGCAAGCGGAATTACTGCTCCTTGCGGAAGACCACAGACGAAGGACAAGGTTAAGAACGGGGGAAGTACTGCCGCCTACAGGTCTGGCATGTCCTTAACAACGTATTTATCCGGGTACGTGTGGACAGAGTTTTTTTTGGTGTCCTTAAAAAGTCTTCAAAAGTCTTAAATTAGCTTTTCCAAATTTAAGGCCATGATAATCCTTAATAATGACAAATAATCCTTAAATACAGTTTCCAAAGGTCTTAAATTACCAAAGACCCAATAAACAAGATTCTTTTATTTCTATAAAATTTTTGTGACTTTCTAGTTAGTGTTCAGCATTTTTTGTGTACGATGTTGGCGTAAGCGGAACCGTACACCTTCAGTTGGTTGTGAAAGGGGGCTATTTTAAGAGGAGCACATTAGCTGGCTAAGCTAGTGGGAGCTTGCGCCATGGGGAAGTGCAAGTTTAATGGTAACTGGATGGCTAATCCCACGTTCGTGACGTGGTTAGCACCGGTTCCAGGCAATAACTGGAAATTATAGCTTAAATTTATTTTTAAAAATAGCTTAAATTTGGTCAAAGTGGCTTTAATAAAAGGACTTAAAAAGTCTTAAATTTGGCTCCCTTAAACCTGCAGATGCCCTGTTTTTTAAACGAGGTGGTGTGGATGCAAGTTTTTGGAGGGGCAGATATTCGTTAAAAAAAAAACCCGGCTACGTGTGGACTAGGCCTTAAATAAAAACAAACAAAACTATCCGTATCAGCTGAAAACATTGGATCAAACTACATGCAACAATATCAATAATTCATTTAAAACACTTAACGATAAATGCATTGTTGCTTTGTTTGTTTGTTTACCATTAGACACATCAGAGCGGCTGCCTTCATTTTAATTAGTGACAACTCCTTTATGCACGGTTTTAAGGGCAATGTGCGTCAATGTTCCTCCACATGACCCCACGCTACATTGTTGGCTAACTGTTGGTTTGTGCTCTCTGCTGTATCCCAGAATAAAAAGCACATCTAAATATGTTTATGTATTTAGCAGACGCTTTTGTCCAAAGCAACTTACAAGTGATAATCGGCATGTTGCCCTTGAGGCTAACAACAACAATAACAACAACTTGACATCAATCATGGAGAGGAGGGAACAAGGAGTGGACAGTAGAGAGGGAGACAGGTGAAGGGAGGGTGCTAGCTTAGAAGATGCTCTCTGAAGAGCAGGGTCTTCAGGAGTTTCTTGAAAATTGAAAAGGAAGCCCCTGTTCTGGTAGTGCTTGGTAGGTCATTCCACATTTGTGGAACGATGCATGAGAAGAGTCTGGATTGTCCTGAGCGTGGTGTAGGCACTGCTAGCCGACGATCCTGGGATGACCGGAGCGGCCGGGCCGAGACGTAAGCCTTTGCAAGAGGATTCAGGTAGATAGGAGCCGTACCATCTCGGACTTTGTATGCTAGTGTTAGCAATTTGAATTTGATGCGTGCTGCTAGCGGTAGCCAGTGGAGCTCAATGAACAGAGGGGTGACGTGTGCTCTTTTTGGCTGATTGAAGACCAGACGCGCCACTGCGTTCTGGACCATTTGAAGAGGTCTCACAGTACAGCCTGGAAGACCAGTTAGAAGGGCATTGCAGTAATCGAGGCGGGAGATGACAGTAGATTGCACCAGGAGCTGGGTGGCATGTTGTGTTAGGTATGGTCTGATCTTAGCTACTGGAAGGCATTTGGCTCAAACTTGCACTGTATGCTGGTTAGTTGTGTTGGATCAAGGTTGGATCCATGCCTACGGTAAAAAACTGCTCCTGAGTAAAAGAAGTGGTGAGAGTAGCGCCCCCTGTGGTGCTCCTGAGCTGCTGACAACCTGCTCAGAGTCGGACACACACAACTTCAGTAGTCATTAAGACAGGTGACTGCTGATTTGTCCACATGTCTTCTGGAGATCCTTGTCGAAGAGGTGCTGCAGAATCCCACAGAGCTGGTCTGCCAGGGCCTGGAGGACTCGGGGACTTGCCCCGTCTGATCTAGTAGCCATGTTCAGGTCTGTAGTCCATCCAGATGCTTCTTCACACAACTGAAATCGGTCAACAGGACAATCTGCCGTACACCATAGAAGAAGTAGAAGTACCTCTGTCTGCTCACGTTTCCATAAAAAAAGTCTAAATCCTCCAAAGCAGTTTGAAACTAGCGCGGTTCCTGAGCATCTGCCATTCTCGCACTGTCACAGCTCTGGTTCTAGGCCTGCCTAACACCTTCCTACACACTTGGCAAGCTGGGCCGTGCTACTGCTGGTATTTGTCTACATTTCTAGGCTAAGCTCCAGCATCTGCTGATGTTCAATCAATCAATCAGATTTATTTATGAAGCGCTTTTCAAACAAAGTGCTTTACAAAATGACCCCAAATTCCCACAACAGGTTAAAAACATTAACAGACATATGCTAGCACACGCACACACACACACACACACACACACACACACAAGTAAAAATTATATTTGGCTGAGTCCAGATGAGCCACGTAAGGTAAGGCAAGGAAACACCATCAGAGGAGCCGTCTGCCCCGGCAGCATCAGGTCTTCCACACTAAATCAGGGCGCTCAGTGGAGGGGGAGCATAGACCCCCACCTATAGAGCGCCCAGGAAGCAACAGTCGACCACCGCTCCCGGGGCAGAGGGCCCCTACAGAGGCAACACTGGATTAAAATGAGTAAAAATATAATAAAAGAGCTCATATAAGGGACAAAAGTTAGAAAATAAGTAATAAATAAAGTCATATAGACATTAAAATAATCATATTAAATAATGAAACTGTGCTAAAATATAATCATGTAAAGCGAGAAATGAAACTGTAGTAAATATTTAGATAAAAGCTAACCTAAAAAGACGGGTCTTGAGCCTGGACTTAAAAACATGAACGTTCTCTGCGGCACTGAGGTCCTCTGGCAGCTCGTTCCAGAGGCGAGGGCCGTAACACTGGAAGGACGCCTCGCCGTGAGTGTGTGTCCTGACTTTAGGGATGACCAGGAGACGCCTGCCAGAGGAGCGCAGAGGCCGTGAGGGTTCATATTGTAAAAGCAGTTCTGATAGATAAGAAGGCCCAAGACCGTTAAGACACTTAAAAACCATTAGAAGAACCTTAAAATGGATCCTGAAACAAACAGGGAGCCAATGCAGTTATTCCAAAACCGGAGTGATGTGCTCCCGCCTCCTGGTCTTCATCAGGACACGTGCTGCTGAGTTTTGTAGAAGTTGTAAGCCTGAGATGCTCTTTTTGGGAAGAGCAGAAAGCAGGGCATTGCGGTAGTCTATTCTACTGGTGATAAAAGCATCAGCATCTCCGTATTGGCCCGAGAGAGAACGGGGCGGACTCTGGCGATGTTCTTTAGATGATAAAAACCCATGTTGTTGATGATGGTGGAGCAGCAGAAGGATCCATGACTGCGGTGGACGATTAAACAGATGAACCAGTTGTGGGAGGTCTGCTAGGCTGGAGGCAGGAGCGAAGATGCTGAACTGAACCTAATACAGAACACCATCAGTTCATCGCTTCGTCCAGACTCCTGTTTGTCTGATTCTCCTGCTTGAAGCCAGCGATGCTCTTCATCCCTGACCACACACCGCTCTCCTGGAGCTCGGCCTCTTTCCTCTACGCCTCGTTGTTTTTTCTCATCTTGGCTTTAAGTTGCATGGATGTCATCTCCATGTGGCTCACAGTGCATCCTCGTCTGTATCCTAGAGACATCCCTGCAGAGTATCTTCAGCTTCCTGTGGCACCACCTCCTGTGGCATCTGCTCAAACAAACTACGCCAGAGGGTTCAATCCCGCCAAACTAAAACATGCTTAGTCTTATAGTGTCAGCAAAGTCTGAACCTGTTCTCATCGCCGTCTTCTTCGCAGCACAGAGACCTGAAGGACTCAGCTGAAACGCGTAGTCTTGTTTCATTTTAACGCCGGTTCTTATAGCGAGGAGCAGAACCGCATAGCAACGAGACAAAGCCTTCCCGAGAGCACCGCCAGCACTGAGGAGACGTCTGTCTGTTTCTAGTCGATCACAGTGATGATGTAATAGTTATTGATGTTTGTGTAGACGTTGGCTGTGGCGTTAGGAAGTGTCGTTTCAGTCAATCTACGGCCGATATTGTGTTTTCAAGAGCAGCTTATTAGAAAAATCTCCTTCAGATTCAAACGTTTATTACAGTTCGTGGATGCTAATGAGACAGTTTGTTAGATCACCAGTCTTACATAGAGATAACTGTGGAGTCCTTCTGCAAGCTTAACATGAGGGGAGAGAATCCATCAGCAAATCAATGGTGCATTTGTGATTATGGCCCTGAGCGAGAAAGACCTGCAGATTCTGCTGAGTAATAACGTACACAGACGTTTATGGTGCAGAGGAGAGGCAGATGAAAGAAGCTGCAATGATGAGCAGAGCAGTCTGGGATCATGGACCGTTTCTTCGGCCAGTTAGAGGAATAAAAATGTGTTTCAGTAACCCTAAAGCCCGAACCTGCTGCTCTGTTCTTGTGCCTCTCTGCTCTGACTCCGGAGTCTCGGG